CCGCATTTGAACTTTATCCCCAAGCGGGCCTTGGCCCGCCTTCAAAGTGCTGTGGCGGACTCCTTGTGGCAAGACAGACCTAAATGGCGGTCGAAGCATCTCCTTCTTTGCATTGTGTACAAGGCCCACAAGTTGGATCCATTCCTCTGTCGTGCGGTCACAACAATTGCTGAATCGGTTCGCTTCTTGCAATATTCCGTGTTTGCACGGCAGCAATGGGCGCAGCTTTTTGAACAAGACCAGCTTACTGCACAAGCATGGATGACACAATTCAGTCAGGCCTGCCAGATCCTGGATATTGAGTGGGTCCACACCTTTGAATTTTCGGTTTTTGGGTCTGCGCCTGTCAACTTTTTGGATTTCTCGGTCCCTGACCTGAAATGTTTGCTGAAGAGTTTGGCTGCCAACAAATGCTACCATACTGCCTGCCTCATGCCAAGGAAAGACATCAGTACGGCTGTTGGTTTCCTTGACACTACGATGACGCTTTCGGCAAAGAAGAGGTTAGCTGCTATTCCTCATGATGGTTTTTCCTTCCTGTTCTTTTGGGAAAGTGCGGTGACAGGTTGCACTTTGACAGCTGACAGGCTTGCTGCAGCCGGGCTTGTTGACCAAGCCAATTGCCGATTTTGCTCTGCTCCCAAGGAATCCGTGAGCCATTTCGTATACGAGTGTGACGCCTTGCCCGAAGCGGTTCGGCAGCCTTCGACTAACTTCTTCTTCGGCCCTAATTTCAGCACACTGGGCATTGTTGAGATTCCTTTTGACACTATACGCGATAAACTGCAAGTGTCCAGCATTTCGGAGGTTCCTGTGTCTCAGTGGACGGCAGTGCAGGAACAGGTTCAACATGTGTGGACGGATGGCTCCGTGCAACTGACAACCTATCCATGGCTGACCATTGCATCGCTGACCATTGCATCCTTTGCTGTCATTGCGGCTGATGAATCTATCTTAGCTGTTGGTCGGGTCCGCCATTGGCGCCTGTCCAGTTATTCAGCTGAGCTTTGGGCCATTGTGGTTGCCTTTGCCAGAGCAGAACAGCCGTTGGTAATCCACACGGATTCCCTTACCATCGTCAAGCAGTTCCTGGTGTTGCTTCAAACTGAGACAGTTCAGGTCGAATGGACCCATGCCAATTGGTGGAGCTTCATTTTGGATCAGCTTCTTCACCGGAAAGAGCTCCACCCTTCTCCATTGCAATTGCTTTGGTGCCCTGCTCATTTGTTGGAACACGTTCCTAGCCAGGCACTCACGGACGAGTTGGCTACTAAAGCTGGGTCTACTCGTCAGGACATCATTCTCAATAGGCTGGCTGACAACTGTGCTAAGCAGCATATTGCCCAACTTGCACACGAGACGAGTCGCGAGCTGCACCTGATGGAGCATGATGTTTTTGCCAGGCAGCTTTGGTTGAGCCAGCTTAATAGAATGTGTAAAAAGCCTGCTGATTCCGGTACATCCAAAGGTCATGTCTCCCCTGAGCCTGCTATTCAGTACTCAGCTAGACAGATGTGTCCCAAGTGGCCATGGGACATCTCGCAAGCCTTATTTACATGGCAGGTCGACATTGACCTTAATTTACCCTTTCGAGCCACGTCCACCTTGACGGAGAACAATTTCCGCACCTTTCTACGCTTTTGCGCCTCCTTGCAGTGGCGTGTCGGGGATGGATTCGCTTGCTCAGTCTTCGAGTTGGCCGTTGTGGCATTTATACGTGGTTGGAGGTTTGAACTGCCTCGAGGAACCATTTGCACGCCTCAAGCCTTCGCCAGCTTGATTCGTTCGGGTTTTGCCTATTGCAAGCAGAAAAAGGTCGTGGTCGCGCCTCTGTTGCTCGACAAACGCAACAAGAGTAACGGCAAGACCTTTCCGAAGGGTGCTTTCCTCGGGGCCGAAGCGTATGTTGAGAATGCTGCATTGGACATGCTTGCTCGTGCGTTTGCCAAAGGTGCCAAAGCAACACCTTGGTCTTGGAGCATCCCGTTTGACAACCTTTTGTAGTCTTGGCTACGAGTGACCCTAGCTGCGGAATGCGCTGGGGTTGCCACCGACTCGGAGTCGCGGCTTGAGAGCAAAAAAAAAGGAAGCTCCCCCCCGCTCTCTTTCTTGAAGAAGCGTCTTCGCTATCCTGCGTCCTGTTCCTAGGAGCGTACTTGCTCCTAGTAGTAAGGCCAGGAGCCCCTAGTAGCCTTCTTGTTACTACTAGTAAGGCACTTGTTACTTGTTACTAGAAGCGATGCACTTGTTACTAGTAGCGTTTACTGTTTGAGTCTCTTTGACTCCTCGACCTCACACTTTCACCTTTTTGTCCAAGGACAGATGCTTTTGCCTCATTGCACGACTTCCTCTTGAATCACCACGATATCTCTGCAGAGTTTTTGGAGGCCCCAGGAGCTCTAAGTAGATGAGGTCATGAGGTCATTTGAGTAGATGAGAAGATGGGGGTCGTCTAAGGGCTTTTCGGGTAGTCCTTTGGGTGTGGTCCCTTGCCTTGCTGAAACCACAGCTTTGCTTTGCTCGATTGAAGGGACGGGTTGTGAGACTTCCAGGGCAACTTCCGTCCCTTCTTCACCTGCTACAACAAGCTCTTGGAGGAGGGTGACTATGTGACCAAGCGTCAGGCAGCTTCTGCGAATTGATGAAACAGATGGTGCTTGAGGGCCTTGCAGTTTTGGCGTTGGGTGGAGGGGATTCAGCTAGGCCCTCAAGCTCCTTAGCGACCTTCTGCTGGCAAGAAAGTTCATGAGGAGCGAGCCAGCGAGTTGAGCGACCAGTGCGTTACGACTTTTCTTCAGAAGTTTGACGGCAGACTCGCAGTGGGCGTAAACTTGTGAGTTCGACATGTTTTGGAAACACTTTTTTAGCACGTTGTGCCAAGAGGTTTTTTCATCATGCATCTGTTTCTTTTATCACTTGGCTCCGCAATTTATAGCCGTGTAGCCGACAGGTCCACGTATTCCTGGAGCTTTATGCCTTAAAGTTTTGGGCCATTTTGTTTCGGGTCAATCCTGGAAGGATAATGCTGACCTACATTGGAGACGACTCGTATTTGCAGCTTCATATGAACCTGCTCAGAGACGAGTCCAAAACCATCCAAGTGGAGGCCAGGCCACCCGAGTGAACGCTGCATTTGCGTCTCAGTGGGTCGCTGCTCAGCTGCTCCACGGTGTAAGCTGACACTTTGGCAACACAGGCCTTTCACGTTTTCAAGATCTTCGTGGCCAACCCTTCTCGGCCGCCCCGTGTCCAAGCCATTCTCTTCAAGAACAAGGCCAGGGACCCAGGGATGTCATCCAAGCAGCCGAACGTCGAACCAGCATGTTCTACAAGTCACCCAGGAGAGACTTGTGAACCTGCTGAAAGAGTTGACTCCTCATCGATCTGATGACAAACAATTCCTGGAGGTGTCTCGGCATGAAAGTGCAGGCTTCCAGAGGTGCAATGTGCAAGGCAGGTCGCATGCCAAACCTGTTTGCTTGGGGACAACTCTCCGTGACAAGGATGGCGAATACTTTGGCCAAACTCGAGAACCAGTTATCTTGCATCGAACTCTCTGCACCGAAAAGAATAAAACCCATATATATATATATGCAAGTTTATATTATACATGTATACTATTGTAGTATACTTATACACCGTACAGTTCCTGTATGTTCTGGTTTAGGATGGTCGATACTTGTTGTGGGGGTGGACATGTTTGTGTTTTTGAGCGTAAAGTGTAAGGGATTGGGGTTCAATTCGGCCAACGCTGCATAACATCACGAGGAACAAGTGACACGTGTCACATGCTTCGCATCTTCTCTCACACACACAAACAAGGGTGGTGGCAACCAGTTTTCAAAGCTTGTGGTACAAGCCCAAGCACAAGACACATCACGAGCATTGGTGACACTTGCCTTAGTTCCTCCTAAGTCGCACTGGCGTAGCCAATGTTTGAACAGAACACTCTGCTTGCCTTTTTCCTTTAATGATCTGAACTTATGCTTAGCAATTCTCAACAGTTGAAAGATAGATGAGACTATTTTCCGTTGCCAATTTCGTTGTTTCGTTTTACCACAAGAGTCCCGTCAAGGAGGATAGCCCCTTAAGGTTTTGGCAGAGCCTTCCCAGGCCCCCTCAAGCTGAAAGGGGACTGGGAGAACCTCCAAAGCTCAGGATATGAAGACGGTGCTGGCAAAGCTGGAGGACAGACAGCAGTGTCTCCCAAGATTCTTCCCAAGAGGGTGCAAAGGTGACATGAATTGGCGTTCGAAGATGTGAAGATCAGATTGTGTGAGATGCAATGCGAGATGTGCAAGAGAAGACTAGACCAGTCGTGCATGTTTTTATAGTTGAATGATTATGAATGTATGATGAAGTGCACACAGGGAAGCAGCTCTGTCAGCTGTGACAGGAATAATTACTCACCTAAGGTCAAAGATCACAGCTTGAATTGTGGTTGTGAACTTACTTGTGCCATGCGCAGGCTCTAGAAGCACCAGTGCGTAATCCTGGCGGCTACCAAGGCAAGGATGCATGCAGGGCTTATGCTCAAGGTTTGATGCCACTCTACGAGCTTTAGACTATCCAGATTCTTGCAGAGAATTAGTAAAACTCAGTTGAACATTAGTCAAACTATGTTTAAGCTGTCGAAACAAACAGCTTTGGCCCAAGAACAAGATGGGAAGAAGAGGCATTGGTCCCTTTTGGATTGTTTTGACAAGTTGAAGAACTGCCACTGGACTTGGACAGGAGGCTCGGCCGAACCGGGCTCACCCAAGCGTGAGACATCTTGAGGCCGAAGACATTTGTCCAGCTTCGCCAGTTTTTGTGCGAGGTCTCACATGACCACTCCAAGTGGTTTTGGTGATATCAGTGACGTTGTTAAGACTAAATTGATGAAACTGACTCCCCTTCTGGAACTTCCACTGCTTGGCGAATCACCTACCTTCCCTCCTTGAGACGAAAGAATCCAAGATGGTCACTTGCATCAGCGTTGGCTCTGGCCCAAAAGAGTGATGCACCGCTCCCGCTCCCGCTCCCGTGCAAAAGAGGCCCGACCGTGCGTCTCGCGAGATGGCCCTGTGGAGGTGGCGATCTTCAATGCCATGTCTGGAGGGACCATTTGCAGTTTCCAAGCTGGGTGGTCATGGTCTGTGCTGGATGTGAAGCAGGAGATCTCTAAAGTCATTGGAGATGCAACTTCACTACTTCCTTCAGGGAGGCAGCTCTTATTTGATGCGCAGATCCTAAGAGACAATGATATCCTGAAGAATGTTTCCCACGCAGATGCAGCAGGAGCTGATTCCTTGCACACACTTGAGCTGAGTATGCTTGAAGTATCTGACGATTTCTATGTTCGATACCTTGCCAAACGAACAATTTTTGGGCGCATGGAGATGGATCATGAGTTTCATGAGTTTGAGTTCTGCAGCAGTGGTAGATTTCGTTTCGCACGCAACTTCCTGCAACAGGGCTTCTTTCAGGGCAAAAGACTACGGAAAGAATGTTATTTGTCTGCTGCGAGTCTTAATGTCCTCAAAAGCATTGTGTTAAAGAGTGGCATAATGCAGGCTGATGATGCGGATTTGCCGCTACCAACCCAACAATCCAGACAAGAGCTGGAAATCAAATGTGAAGGGACTCACGTTGTTCTTGCTACAAGTCTTCACCCAAGTCTTTCCCACATCGATGGAGGACGCCGACTTGATCATGACCGCAATATGTCTGACTTCGACACATGTGCAGAGGATATCAAGTCCTTTGGAAAGTCAATCTTGGAAATCTTCGGCGTGCAGCTTGATGGGGCTGCCGTTGTTCGACCACTCCGACGTTGAACACTGAGATCTGACAAATAGCTGGAAATCACGAGAGTACGAACCTCATCTTTCTTCTGGATTCTACTTTTGGATTTTTTGGGCAGCCGGATGGTCGGAAAGATTACGTCTTCAAGTTGACTGAACCATGGGCAAGAAATGGCAAGAAGTTCCGCACACAGCCTTCACCGCCCGTGTACATAGCCATGCTGATCGATGCGGTTTTTCCTTGCAAACACCTAAGCCTGCTTTGTGCTGCAAAAAAGAAATGGCAGGATCTTCTTGACTCAAGTAAAGATTTGCTAGTGGGGCCACAGTTTCAGAGGTTGATCATGCCTCCCGAAAAAGAAGGGGTCTGTGAAGCTGGTCTTGAGAGCCATCCAGACCAACAAGCCCTCAGTACTCATAGTCTTTGGCCAAGAGAAATGAAGCAAAGAGTTGATGATCGGACCGAGGTAGGGATGCCATGTTCGCTTTAGCGTTTGCCTCAGTTTGGGAAGTTTAGTCTAGGTCGCCAATCCGCCAATCATTCTTAAACCTTGAATCCATCCAAGTCCTGCGGGCTTGAAAATGTTTGTCAAATTGTAGAGACTGGCGAGAACATTATAAACAATTCAACTGCTCTCACATGCCCGGTGTTTAGAAACATGTTTTTGTGCGGATTCGTCGAGAGCGACAACAGATGCTTTGGGTTGTTATCGACTTAGGCCCAAAGCTGTGGAGCAAAGAGTGCTTCATAGGCAGAGGCTGCTTTTTCATCAGCAATCAGATTATGAACGACATGTGGGATTATACGGACATAAGGTCATGCACGTGATTTATATCATAAACAGGCGAACATGGCGGACATGCTGTCGGTGCTGCGCTGTTGCTGTAGGGGTCGCTGTGCCCAGGCGACGCTTCGGCGGGCTGAGCTTTCGTTCTGGGACACATGTCCACAGTTGTCCACAGTCCACAGCCACTGAAGTCTTATTGAATTGTTGAAAAGCTATCAGAATCGATGGAGTCCTGGAGAATCTTGGACACATTGCGAGGCTTGTACTCGGTTGGTGATGCCTGACTTGTTATGAAGAAGAACGTGCACATACAGAGTGTAACGCACAAGGTTAATTTTGCATCGCCCTGTTGAGCAAATGTTATTGGTTCCTTGCTACCATCGTTCAGTTTGTTGTGGCATTGCCAGTGATTCACTGGAAGATAGTTTAGTTTTGCCCTGCACCATTCTCAGATATTCTCAGCCTCATTGTAGTGTAGCACTGGGAACAGTTGCTGCTGCTCGTGGTCCTTCTATTCCAATGCAGCAAGGCATCCAATAGGTGACATACGATGACATACCTCAAGACCTCAGGCAAGGTGGTGGCAACTGCTCCCCTGCTAAACTATATACTGTATACTGGAGCTTGTAGCTCCGTGTATACACGAGACCGAGTTGGTGCAAAAGACAGGGTGAGGCGATTCCCCAGCATAAATTAGACTGCCACGCTCCACCCTGGCAACCGGACCTTTTTGCCTGCACTGAATTCAAAGAGTCTTGGGCTTCAGTCTTGAGGCTTTTTGCGGCTTGATGAATCTGAACACAACTTAACTTTTTGGCAGCCTACTTACCTAATTACCCTTGCATCAGGCCATGTACGTCCCTTTCCGTAGTTGCGTCCGGTGCAAAAGGAGCGCTGCTTCGATTTCAGCTCCGCTGATTCGACGCATTCTGCAGCTTTGCTGCGCTAGCAGGCCAGTAGGATTTTGTCAGAGTAATCCTCTCAAGAAGCTCAGAGACCTGCTTTTCTGGACGCTTTGCATCCCATCCTCTCAGCCGTTCGATTTGCGAAGCCCCGGAAGACGCGGTCCCTGCGGTCGGCGGTCCACCAGCCTCATGACGTGCGAAGACTTGGAGCGCCGCTGGTCCATGCGCAAGGGCCATCGTCACCTCTTGGAGAGCCTGCAACTAGGATCAAGCTTTCTTTCGGCAAGTGGAGTACAAAAGAGGTCAGGTAGGCTGGCAGTATGCTTTCCGGCCGCATCTAGTTTCTGGCGAAGGATGTCATGCCGACTCAAGTGAGACACTATAGTATAGGTCTATAGACAGGTAGGCCCTAGGCTTGTTAAAACCTAATTATATAAGTAAATGCATAGAATGTCTTTTCAAGCCTTTGCTGATCTTGCCCCTCATCCTGCCAGGGTGCCTCATCCTTCTGGGGTGATGTTTGGCTAGATTGTCAAGCTTGTGTTTGCGGTTGTCCTTGTAGGTTTCAAGGGGTTTGCGCTTCAATTAAAGCCTTAGCCTCGTCACAAGAGATGTAAGATGGGCCATAGATGACCATAGATCAATTTGCTTGCGGATTTTGGGCTTCCGGATCTTCAGAGCCACTTAGGAAGGGCCGCAGCACATTCTCTCATTCCATCAGCAAGAAGTGGCTGCGTCGACAGAAAGAGAGCGAACTTCCGGTCAAGGACCTGGCAAAGCAAACCGAGTCCCGCAAGTACAGAAAATCCAAAGACCGCTTCACGTTGGCGAGTGGCCGAGAGGCATTGGACTGGGAACATGAAGCTTGGTGTGGATCGGTATGTTCTTGTGTTTTGCTGAGGCCAACAGCTTTGCCGAACCCCCCTTCACAGCCGGACATGCTGCTCGATCTTTTGTTCACAAAGAGAAGATATTTGAAGATAGGCACAAAACTCATGACCTATGCACAAAGGTAGTTCACAGATGTTTACAGTGCGTTTTTCTAGGATATGATATGTTGGGTCTGTCCTATTGCCAGTAACAGTCAGTAAACAATTATCACAATTTTCGAACAAGGGCTTTAGTAACCATCATCATCCACTGTTGCTGGGAATAGGATAGACCCAAATGATATGAGCAAACGCCAACACCTGCAACAACCAATTGAGTAAAGTGGTTGTGAATTTCAGGAATTTGGCTAAAACAACCTGCAAATGCAGTAGGCCCGGTAGGCCCCCCTCAAGAGCGATATCTATGCTGAAAGTGTGGCTGGTTCGTTGAGAAGACGTTTTTGCAGACTGCTAGGATAATCGCAGGCAAGCATTGTGCAGGCCACCAAGGTTGAATGAGTGCGATGTGGCTAATATTGTGTGCCACCTGCTCACCAAACAGGAAAATGTTGAGCCCTTCTGCTTTGACACCGACTTTGATTCGGAGTTTGATGACGATTCCTTGTCGGAAGCTTCCTGGAGTTTTTCCAGGCCATGCGGTGCTCGAACAGTTTTCATCAAGGGAACCAATCATGTCCTTGACTTTGTGTTGCACTTTTTGATATTGCTCAAAGATGCTTAAAGTAGTTGCAAACTGTGGCAAGAAAGATCTTCAAAGAACTCTGTGGATTCTGCCACACCCAGGTTCGCAACTTTGAACCTTTCTTGGGATCTCTAGGGGAAGCTGAAGGAAGTACCAGTTACAAGTGGTACCACTTCGGAATTGGACATGAGGTTTTTTTGGATTCCTTTTTTCTTCCTTTCGCACTGAGGCAATCCACCACGGGTAGTGTCTCGTCCTTGGAGACCTTGTCCGCCAGCGACCCACCGGTCGTGACGACCGCCCTTCGTTTTGTGGCGGAGCGCTGGGAGGAAGCTCAGGTGGTGGCAGATGCTTGGAACGCTAACGAGCCGTGACACATCACATCAAACAATCAAAACATCACCAAATAGTTAGATGTGTGATGATTATGATGATGATGATGTGTGTGTGTGTGTGTCTGTCTTTTTTGTTTTTCGGTAATAAAACAAAGAACATCAGTGGGTGAAGGTAGTGCCCGAAATGTTCCCCACCTGTCTCGCCATGTCTCACTCTGGCTCTTTGAAATGCCCATTTGATCAGGACATCGTCGCCAAGACGTACAAGCCACCGCCGAGGCCAACTTGTTTTTGATTGTAAAGTGGGAAGTTGCACAAAAACCATTGTCTGCTCCATCAGAGGAAAAGGGCTTTTTGATGGTTTTTGCATATTATATATATAACATATACATAGTATATGCATATATGTATATATATATATATACATATGTATTCTTTGAGGGATTGCCACTTATGCAAATCCTTTTGTCATTCCCTGAGGCAGATCCCGCCGAAAGCGAAAGAAGCACTGGCGTCTCCACTCTCAGTGGAGGGTGAGGACTTCTTGATTCTCGTCGACTGAGTCTATGATGTTTGTGTATCTTGAGCAAATCTCGAACGAACGGCAGGGAGCCGTGGGCAATGTTGTGTACTGCTTAGAGCAGAAACCATTTGAAGCAAGATTTTGGTGACTTCATTTTGACTTCAATCACGTGTTCGTCGCCTTAGTCGCCAACTTGTCGGGGACGGGGCTTTAGAAGCTTGTTTGCTCACCTAGCATGTCAATTTCATTCATTTCCCACGAAATCATCCCTATTAGTGTCGGTGCATCATGTTGCATTTTTGCAACTCCTTTTTCAGTGGTGCTTAAGGCCTGCGTTGGCCTGCATAGTCCTTCCCTGCTTTGCTTTGGATGAAGGTTCAGGGTCAGAATGACCACTAATCTGAAATGAAAACTTGATGTGCATTGTCCCATGTTTTCTTTGAGACGTGCAGTGCTACAAACGCACAGAGAGAGATCGGGGGGACTGCTATGCTGGCGGCAGTGTGACTTGCTTTTGTTTTGGCACGTCTTGCCGTCCTTCAGCAGCTTTGGCAATCTTGGTCCCAGCAGCTTTGGCATGCCTTTGGCTCTTAGGTGGTTGGGAAACTCTCTTTGCAAAGAGTTCCGTCGCGCATTGTCTGTGGTAAGTTACCAATTTGGATCCATTTGGATCTATTCACAGGTTGTTACATCTTGCGTGCAGGTTGTTGCTAGGTCAATTGGTGCCACCGACACTGTCCCTCGGAACCGACACTTGTCCTTCGATGCGACTGGCGGTTTTTCGCTAGCAATTTCGATGTCTGAGGAAAAGACCAAATCCATTTTGCATTGATTCTTGTGAAGACCGCCCGGATGTTTCAGCGATTTTCTGCTTCTTGTATGTGCCCCGCTTGTTTTGGCTTCAGTGCACTGGGACATGGAACTCGCCTAAGACATGTCATAATTAATTTGTGTTCTATTTGTTTTCCTGCTCTTACTCTTTCTACTCTTTTTGCTCGTTCCGTTGATTTGCCTTTTATGTCCTTCCTTCGCTGCTGTCCATCTCCGCCCAGGATCTCTGCAGCCCCTCGCCACGAGGTCCGGCCGATGTTTGCAGGGTGGCCACCGGCGAACCTGCGAAGCGAACACGACCGGGTCCTCTCCTTTGCCAAGCTCCCCGAGGCGGAGGCGGTTCTCTAGTAATGCCCTTGTTGCTATAGTAGTAATGCCCTTTGCTCCTAGTAGCGTCCTTGCTGCTAGTAGCGATGCCCTTTGCTCCTAGTAGCAAGAATGCTCCTAGTAGTAAGGCCAGGAGCCCCTAGTAGCGTCCTTGTTCCTAGTAGTAATAAGACGTGCTCCAGTTGGAAATAAGATCATGGGAAGGGTAAAGTTATAGTACGGGTTGGAGGCTTCAACGAAGGTTTTTGAGTGGCTAAGAGTGTGATGCGTGATGATGAGACCCTGTTTGTGGGTATGTCTCCAAGACCTTGACTTTGTTTTGAGCGAATCTCTTTGAAGGTAGCGCCTGGCGAGGAGACCAAAGCCAGCAACTGCTCACGGACCATGAGAGAGAAGCTGGGCAACAAGCACGGACCTTGTCGCTGTGTTTGGGGCTGCTCTTGGTCGCCCACGTCTCACTGGTGGATGGTGTGGGTGGTAGGCACGAATTGGTTATGGCATGTTATGGCCAAAAAATATAGAGCCCTAAGGAGCCTCATATAGAGTGGAAGATGGTCACCAACTTAGCGACGTAGTGACTTGGTGGTGACCGAGCAAACTTTCCCACATGCCGCTGGTGAACACCTCTCATGAAGAGGAGGAACTAAACCTTTTGATCAGTCATGCGGATGCGCCGTGTCAATATTGTATCATAATATCCGAAAGCCCCTTTCGAAGGATTTCCACGACTTTCATGGGATGTGTTTTCCCTGTGCAGCGAGAATTTGTACTTCCGAGGAGTGTGGTTAGTTCGACCTCGGATGAGTATGAAGCAGTCACGAGATACTTTCAAGCGACTCTGGGGGAAAAAGCCGAGATCCATGACTTGAACAGAATCAATGTGCCCAAGTTTCGCGAGCGTTTCCTGACTGATGGAGACCACACCATCATGTTTCATGGTTGTCGGAGCTCGCAGAACGAGGCCAGCATATTGGAAAAGGGTTTCAGAGTAGCCTCCTGTGTCAGTGGTGGGACGAAATTTGGCACCTGGTTCGCTTACAGGGCAGACTACAGCAACCGTGGCTACTCTTTCCAAGATCAGGATGGCCTTGAGCATCTCTTTGTGTGCGTTGTCTCATACTTCTATACGGTCATGGACCAGGCGCTGATGCGAGTGGTGGGTCAAGACTGTGCCTACCCGCAATGGCTCATCAGATATAGGACGGCTCGAACTCCAGCATATGTACCTCCAGTGTACGCACCACCTGTGGTGGCTGGGACAAGTCGTCCAGGCAAGTCTACTAATCGAGGCAGAGACCGAACTTGGTATGTGGTCCGGGATGGCCAGTGGCAACTTGAAGGTACATGAGACAAAAATGCCGACCACAATCGTGTTTGTATGTTTTTGTGGTGTTCAGCTTGTGTACAGATCTTTTTATTCAGGATTCCGTTTCTTCTTCGAAGACAGCCAGGGATCTCTTGCCCTTTGGATTCAAGCTTGTACAGCTGTACAGATTTGGTATTCTGATGCCCTTTGAACTAACATGACTTAGCAGCAGCAGCCAAGCAAAAATAGATTCGGTTCCTTGCATGCTTCAACGAAAGACCTCAAAGAAGATTTGTATTACTGTATCTATATCATTATATATATATATCTATATGATTAGATGCGTAGAATAAACATCCATAAAGGCTGAGCAACTTCAATCGATGCTTGAGCGGCTTTCTAGCACAGAATGGCGGGCACTGGAATTGAGCACTGGAAGAAGGGTGTACATCCCACTAGAACATGACGTCCTACAAATGTAAGGGCAACTACTTGAATCATTGGGCATCAAACATCTTCTACTACAAACACGTCAGACATGTACCTTTAACTTGTCAAGGAATATAGCTTGTGCCACACTTGAAGTGTTCAGAATGCTTATTAGGCGCAATCCGATAGAGATATAGTCACACTATTGACATGGACAACGTGGACGTTGTCGCGTTTTGTTTCGTTCTTGTTGTGTTTGCTGGCAGGAATGTGCTGGGAGGACACTAAGCCTAAGCTCATTGCATCCCACTCCAGCAATCCGAGGGATTGGAGTTTGTTCGAGCAAACCTGTTCCGCACCACTCTGTGTTCTCTGCAGCTGTTGCAGCTTGGCTCAATCTTTCAAGAAATCGAAACATGCCAACTTGCAAAGCAATCACAATGTATAGATTGAACATTGGCCACGTCGAATATACAATTTGATTGCAGGAAAAGAACCGTGAAATGATATGCGTCGAGTTTTGGGTTCTTTTCTTTTTTTCTGCGAGTGTGGCCTCGGCGCTTGAATTCGTAGCTCCCGTTCCCTTTTCGCGACTTGGAGAATTCGGACGTCGTGTTTTCCGGCAGAAGTTACGACCACCCGGTTTTGGAGCCCACCTGGACTCTCCAAGCCTAGTTCATCCACCATCATCCGGTCCCAGCACCACCTATCCAAAAGTCATTGCAGGGTTGTTTTGATTTGCCATCAACATGTGGGTTGATGGGGTTGTTGATGCTGTTACTATTCCAACCAGCCGGTACAAGCCTTTGTGAGATCTGTCCACTCGTCACGCTCCTTGGTGAGGCCCATGACGGATCCCAGGCCCGAAACGGACAAGGGACCCTGTTGGTCCCCTCATGGGAGGCCTGAGCCCTGGAGGTTGGGACTTTTGTGACCTTTCAACTTTCAAATTTCGACAATTTTTCGGCATTTGCCGTTGAGGTCGTCTTCGAGGGCAAAATCCATCGGCCGAAGACCCAGAATTGTCGGAGTTGCCAGACTTGTGAGAAACACCATGAACCAACAACATCAGCCAAAGAGCGCAAGGACACTATGTGCTCATGAAGACGATCGGCGAAGGCACTTTTGGTAAGGCAGGGCAATGGTAGTTTTAACAGGCGGAATTTGAGATTCGATCAAAAGTATCTAGATTTGGACATAAGATCTATTGTGGTCAAAGGCGTGATTAATTGCAGCACTGTGCTTCATTGCGAGTGCTTCAGGTGAAGCTTGGCACTCATATCCTCACAGGAGACGCTGCGGCCTTGATACTTGGGGGACGGTCCACAGTGAGCTACACACACACCACAGATTTTGAGCTCGAGCCAATAAGGTCTAACCCCAAAACTTATTTGGAGCATTCTTGTTGCTAGTACCATCGAGTCCTGATGGTAGTGCAATCCAAGGCCCATCCAAGGTGACCCTGGTATAGAGCACCATGGAGTGAGCAGCATGAAACCGATTCTTCATATCCAGAGTTTTCTCGGTTGTTTGTTCATTCATGTTCGTTCTTATGGTCTCCCTGTATCTTCGATGAATCTGAATGACTATCTTCCACCCGAACCACAGATGCTAGGAGAACGTGTGGCAGTGAAAGCTCGGGGGCCTTGTCAAGCAGAGTCAAGCCCGAGGGCTGCAGCTAGATCGAGTGAGTTCCGTTGGAGGTCCCAAGGAGTCACTCAAAGACTTGGACTCTGAATCAGCTCCAAGTAGCTTCTTGCTGGTATTTAGCTCCTAGTAGCGATGCCAGGAGCCCCTAGTAGCTTCTTGCTCCTAGTAGTAAGGCACTTGTTACTAGAAGCGATGCACTTGTTCCTAGTAGCTTCTTGCTCCTAGTGCCGGGTTGAGTCAGTCACTTCTTCGGTTTTGGCTGGTTGCAAATCAGCGTGCTGAATGATGGTAGGGCCGGTCAGTCCATTTGGGTGCGTTTGTCATTGCTCTTCCCAGAGGTCCTTGAAAGGGTCAAAAACATCAAAAACACCCACCCCCCACACGCACACACCCATTTGCAGAGTTAGTATTGAAGGCTGGCATAGTTTCCGGTCAGGTTCTGCGTATTTTCTCAAGTGCTGCTGCGGTCATAGATGAGTCCATGTTTTCTCTCAGGTGTTTGCCTCTCAGGTCCTGGAATGTCTCCACGTCCTCGCCGCCTCGGTCAACGCCGTCCTCGCCATCAGGTTTTAGAGAAGGAGCGGATCCAAGAGCTGGCAGATGTGGAGCGAGTCGCACGCCTCGACCTCGAGACCTTTCATGTTGCAAAGGGGGCCCGTGCGTGTTCGTCTTGCCGGGTCTAAAGTGTTAGCAAGTTGCATGCAGCATGCATGCACTTAAGATCGCTTAAGCCTCGATCACGCTCCTGGGCAAGCTGTTTGGTTGGGAAGGAAAGGGCCTGGTGGGGTATTGGGACACAATGTAATGCCACTGGTTTTGATCCATTTGGCATTCCCGATCCCAGTGGCCAAGGTGAAATTCACATTCTGAAGCTCATCCGCCGCTGTCGTCATATTATTCAGGCGTTGAAGATGTTGCAGCGCAGCACAGCGTCAGGTGGTCACTTAAAATCGATGCCCATTGCTACTTGTAGCTTTATTTGAGATGAATGATTGTAGAATTGTAGATGAAGATTCGATTTAGATTGTTGACTGAACATTGTTGGCATCCTGATGTCAGTGCAGGTGAAACAGCAACTTTGGGATGTGTAGCAGGGCTGTTCAGTCAATCACTACCACAGCAATCCGCGCCAGCTCTATGAAATCATCGAGACGCCTCGACAGCTGTATCTCATCATGGAGTGCGCTGCACCGCAGGTTTCGAAGCTTTGTAGATCTCCTATATTTCCAATTTAATTTTCATTTAACTACACTATTAATTGGCTCAGGGAACGGAACATGGAGTGTCTATCCCAAAATGAAGAAAGCTCATCCCACGTGATCCCAACGCCCAGCTGGCCAAGCTGGACACGAGCACTAGGTATGCCCCCGGTGGAGAGCTCTTTGACTATATTGTTGAACATGGCCGTGCAGAGGAGGGACCAAGCGAAATCATCTCATGTTCCTGCCTGCGATCGCGATGCGATGCCTTGAAAAGTGGATCTTGTTCAAAGACAATGAAAGAAGGTAAGACTCCCTTTAAGGGCACCCTACCTTCATTTGTTTGTTTCTTCTTTTCTGCCGATGCCTCGGTTTGAAGAAGCTGCAACCGCACTTGACCTGGATATTCTGGTCTTCGGACACTTACCACATCGTGGACATGCTTCTGATTTTGTACCGAGTAGCACGTCACGCGTGACTTGCAAGAGAGCCTGTGGAATTCCCATCCAGGAGAGAGATGTTGGGAGCTTGGAGGGTTGCAGATGTGTACATTCAGTGCCAATCACCAATCCGTCCATTGACCATGGTACAACTTCCAGCCCCCCAGTGGAGAAGGTGCTTCAGATATGGTAGGGATCAAAGATGAAAAGTGCGACCCATGCCAAGGCCTGCCGTTTTCTGCACCAAATTCTGGCCGGTGTGGAACGCGTCCACGAGACGTGCGAGCCTCATGACCATGGGAGGATGGCAGACTGGCAGAGGGTGTGGAGACGTGCAAAGCTGGTGGCAGGAGAACCGTCGAGACGCCCCGTTGAGACTCCGCTTAGCATCCAATTACCACCTTAGCATCAAATCCTGTTCCCGGGCACACCAGCTCCAGTGCAGGACGTTTCTCTCCCAGGTATTGGTGCAAGTGCTTGGACCATGATTCACTGATAGATCTGATAGGTTAACGATTGGCATCAAGAATGTGTAGTACTAGTAGTACTAGGTTTGGACTTGTTGCGAAGTACCAATCAGAACGGTGTCTTGATTGGATCTTAAGGCATGGCCGGCCAGGTCTGCTGTTTTACTTTACAGTTTTTCTTTTAGAGTATTTTTTTAGAGCAAGGACGCTACGATCGGGGCTCCTGGCATCGCTACAAACGGAGCGATCGGACGCTACGTCGTTTGCAGCAAGGATGCTTCGGTTCCTTCGGTTCCTTCGGTTCCTACGTGCCCACACCTAGGAATGTGGTGCACAGGGACATGAAGCCGGAGAACCTGTGCCTCGTCTTGCAAGCTCATCCCGCCTTGAACACGGTGTCTACGGTTTCAAGCGCTGTATCCTTGACATGTTCGACAGTCGAGTTTTGGTCTGCAGTCTAAGAAGCTATTTGCATTATTTGGCTGAAACGACAACAAACCTCCAAGGCTTCTAGATGAGCGACAGTGTATCAAAATCGTGGACTTCGGACTCTCCAACACCTTTCAGGCAAGTGACATAGCCGAGTTAGCAACTTCAGCCGGTTCAGAGGTCGCTGGATTCAGTGTAGATGTCACTGGTTCTAACAATGCTTTGAAGGATCAACAGCTCTTGCAAACAGCATGCGGTTCGCCCTGTGGCCAGCTCAGATTTCTGACTGCAGTTCCTTCACAGCTCCAAACGACTCCTGTAGTCTGAGGCTACGCAGCTCCAGAGATGATCGCGGGGAATCAGTGCTCTGGGGAATCAGTGCAGTCAGTAACTGGCAAAACCAATGCCTTGTGATGGGGACGATGTGG